GAACAGACCCTTAGTTTCCGGCGATACTATCAGTGCGGATATGGATTCACTACCAGCGCTCTCACCAAATACTGTGATCTGATCCCTGTCCCCACCGAATGAATGGATATTTTCTCTGACCTTTTAAAATGTCATTTTTAGAAAATTGTATAAAAATTATACCAAATTTAATACCCATTTCAAAGCCATCACTTGATCATAGAGACCCACATTTCCCGGTGCTGTCGACCCGTTACCGCCATATAGAAAACCTAACCTTCCGAGCCTATAGTTAGCCGACACAACTAGCACATCATGTGCGGCCAAATAGGACCCGTTGTACAGTAATTTAAATATAGATCCTTCATTCAGGGACCCGCCATATATCCAAAACATGACTGGTTTCAGTGGTTTGTCCACATTTGGTGTCCATATGTTTAGTACCAAACAGTCCTCACTTTGTTGTAGTTTTAAATCATAGGGTGTTTGGAGACATGAATTGCCAGGTTTTGTGCCGTCGATTATATGCTATTTTAATGAAAATAATTTATTTTTAAATTATGTTAACTGTTAACCTTAGTTGAGTACATTACAAAATAATAGTACAATAAAATTATTACTTTTATTGGTTTCTTCAATGGCAGGGGTTTATTGAATCTGAGGGCACCGACCGGTGGCTCAGCGTAAGTATATTCAAGAACTCATTAACACTTGTATTCAATACATGAAAGGTCTGTCCTCTCACTACACCAGAGGTTGTGTTCACATCTAAACACAGACCCCATTCCCAACACAATTGTATTACACATAAATATAGAGAAAATTTTATTAACATTTTAAATACAAAACCTTTTGTATAAAATTATTTTTATAATGCTTATTATGATATTACATTTTAATGTCACATAAATCGAGTAAATCTGGAAATACTACAATGAAACTTTAATACTTTTCTTATTTTATAATCACTTTATTATCGATATTTAATCAAAGGTTAAGAGGTTTATAGTAAGCATTAACGTAAATTAAATGTCAAATATTAATCTAAAAATAATATAACTTCTAATATGAATTGGCTAAACAATTAAAAAGTAATATTTTAAAAGAATTGAAGCATTCATGATTTATTAAGTCTTAAATTTATAAAATTGAAATATACATAACAATTAGCATAAATTTAAATAATAAGTGATCCAATAATCTTCACAATCGTCAACAAATGGATTATCCAATACTCGACTCGTATTCGTTGGATTCAAGTCTTTGATTTTGATATTGTTCTTGTCATCCAATATATGGGGCCACTGGTCATCCGGTTTACTATAGTAAACAAAATATTAAATATAATTATCTAGGTAATCACGAAATATTGTAAAATATGCTCGTTATATTAACCCATATTTAGCGAAATCAGTCCACAGTTTCATGACGTATAAACTGAAATCCACGTCCAGTTGGGTATGAGTTTTAGGATATAGTTTGTCGACCCATAGGGGAAGTCCAAACACAAACTCCACATCCGATTCATGACAGATACCCATATTCTCACCGCAACCCAATATTTTAGCAAATTGAGACTGATAAGTCAATTCATACATATAAACACCACTTTTTGAACCACTTTTGATGGCATAATTGGCGTATTGTTTGGCCGTTAGATATGTCGGACATTTGATGCCAACGTCACCGAAAAGATCGTAAAACGCTTGCCTTAACACATCTGACGAGTGATTTTTGTGGTCATCTTTGAGATAAAATTGTCTCAAATTTGGTAATTTTAATCCATGGTATGAGCTATTTATGGCGACCACCAAGTCATCAAAGTCTTTATCTGTGATATTACTGTGTAGTTGGGGAAAAGCTCCATAAGCTAGCTTTGAGCCCTCATTTCTATTGACACCCGCCATTATGTCCAGGTCTATGACAATGTGTTTAAAAATTTAAATAATTATTTTATTTTATATACTATTTTAAATTAATTTTCAATAAAATTCAAACCTTGCATATACTTTGAGTCGGCAAAAGCCTGTATTATTGAAATTGGCAAAAAGTCCGTTCCCTCCAAAGGGAATGTAGATTCAGAAAATTTACTAAACTCTTTGGCATCCCTTTCCCTTAAGCAGTCTAACCACTGATTGTCATCAAAATTTTCGCTACAATTCAATGCTTTGGCTATAGTTTGCGATGCATTCAAAGCCTCATCAGTTGTGTGTTGTTGTCGTCCCTTATAATGCAAATTAGCGCCGCTTTCCATAATAGCCCGACGGAACAGACCCTTAGTTTCCGGCGATACTATCAGTGCTGATATGGACCGACTACCGGCGCTCTCACCAAATACTGTGATCTGATCCCTGTCCCCACCAAACGTGTGGATATTTTCTCTGACCTTAATTTTGATTATTTTATAAATTAATAAACTAATAACTGTTGTAACACTTTATACCCATTTCAAAGCCATCACTTGATCATAGAGACCCACATTTCCCGGTGCTGTCGACCCGTTACCTCCGTATAGAAAGCCTAATTTTCCAACTCTATAGTTGACTGATACCAGTACCACATCGTGTGCCGCCAAATAAGACCCGTTGTATTTGAAATCAAAAATAGTGCCCCCATTCAGACCGCCTCCGTATATCCAAAACATGACTGGTTTCAGAGATTTTGTTGCATTTGGTGTCCATATGTTNACTACCAGAACAAACGGGGCGGTCGTATCGTATTGCAGGACATCACCAAACCGGCCAAACAGGACGGGTGGACACCGTTGGAGGCCATCGAAGCCTCCCTACAGTTGGAGCGCACCGTCAATCAGGCACTTCTGGACCTCCAGGGTATCGGCAACCGGACTAACGATCCCGAGTTCACGGACTTCATTGAGAGTGAGTTCCTTCACGAACAGGTGGACGACATCAAGAAACTGGGAGATCACGTGACTAACTTGAAACGGGTAGGCCCGGGTCTCGGGGAGTACCTCTTTGACAAACAGACCCTGTCCTAAATATATCGTTAGCTCGTGTGCAGTATTCACTCGTTTTATAAAATAACAATTAATACAGTAATGAGTGAACAGAATGTATACACAAAAGAGTCTCATTTCAATTGTATTCATACATATGATTTGAGATTATGATAAATAAACGGAAATTATTTTGAATTTAAACACAATTGAATTTATTTATTTAAATAATTATCTAAACATTAATAGACTTATAAAAATATTTAATTAAAAAAATTCTTTATTTTAACAACATGTGTCTCTACAATATAAAGGTCTGATTCATTTATACCACTATCGAAACTTTCTGAAATACATGATCTTGCTATACTGTAATGAAACATTTAAAAATAACTAAAAAGATTAAAAATTCCAATATAATATAATATTTAATTATAAAACGACAATATATTATTAAGTGTTAGTCAGTAAACTCGAAAATAATTGAAATACTAATAGAGAAATAATAACTTATAATTAGTGATCATTCATTTCACTAATTAACTATTAAAAGAATTAATTTTACAGTTTTATTGTACAGTATACATTATTGTACATATTGTACCGGTATAATACTAATATAATTTAATTTAACTTACAAAATCTGCGTTTTAAAAAATTATATTGTTTATTAAATACAGTAAATAATTTCATATTAAAGTAAATGATATTTATGATAGGATATAATTGTACTTAAGGGTACACTACTATGTTGATTTTATTAGTATAGGTATGTATAAACTCATGTTATTTATCACGTGAAAATTAAGTCTGCATGGGAGCTAAAATAATTGTCATATTTATTGATTAGTTATACTATATCTATGATATGTGCCTATTATATTTATAAGTACGCCCTTAATATAACTACAAAGTATAAAAGTAAGAAATGTCATTTATAACATTTTTATAATTATACAAGTAATATTTATTAAAATAATATTTTGTGCAAAATGTTAATTAAATTTGCTCTATATTTATGTGTAATTCAATTGTGTTGGGAATGGGGTCTGTGTTTAGATGTGAACACAACCTCTGGTGTAGTGAGAGGACAGACCTTTCATGTATTGAATACAAGTATTGATGAGTTTTTGAATATACCTTACGCTGAGCCACCTGTCGGTGCCCTCAGATTCAATAAACCCCTGCCATTGAAGGAACCAATAAAAGTAATAATTTTATAGTAATGTTACTATCATTTTTAAATTAGTTAATCAAAGTTATAAGTTGGACATAATTTAAAAATGTATTGTTTCCTTAAAAAATAGCATATAATCGATGGCACAAAACCTGGCAATTCATGTCTCCAAACACCCTATGATTTAAAACTACAACAAAGTGAGGACTGTTTGGTACTAAACATATGGACACCAAATGCAACAAA